AGCTGCACTGCAAGTATACATTTCACTTTTACATGGCTGTTTATCAGATCTAAACCTGACATGCAGTGATGCATTCATATGGCTTGTGATGGTGTTTGTCTTTATCATGAAAAAGCTAAATACCAAAATATGTTTAAAGGCTGCATTGTCTCTCTCTCATGGGCTAGCCTTATGGTGCAGGAACATATTCATTGGCATGATCAGTTTGATCAGTAGTCCATCTAGTCTAGTGTTTTACTTCTGTGCACTTAATGTTTCAGGAGTCCAACAAACCTGCTTACTTCAACAGAACAGCATTGTGCATAACAGGAATGACCTTGTGAGCTGGTTTAGTCATTCTATGACGTGTAGTTATTTTTATTAATTAAAAAGTAGAGAAAAAGAATATTGAAATACAATTTCTGAAGTCCTTGAGGTCAAACCTACACATTAATGGCATTTTGTTTGCTGTTCCACAGTGCTGTGACAGTTGTAATATTATCTATCTATTTTGATTTTGCTCAAAGGAATTGGATTTCAAATAAACCTATTCCAAAAAGAAGCATGAAAACAGAGCTAAAGAGAAGCTATCATCCTCTTAGTACCATAAGATGCTTGATAAGATGTCATGATTAAACATTTTGACCTTGACAGGTTACAGTCTAAAAGGGGGAAAGAGTGTTTGTATTCCTTATAATCTTACTGTTTTTCTTCTGAGGCACAATTTTTACTTAGCTTTGGGGAAATAGTGATTATTGCACATATTTCTCAAGTGTCATCATCTGTAATCTTAATTACTTTAAAAACAACAACAAAAAAGAAATGTATTAGTGAACCCTCTTTACACTATGGTTTTAGAGTAAGAGAGACTTTGCAGTCAATTATTTATGTGCAGTAAGTACTGAAAGCCGTATTATCTCAGAATAATCAATGTTTGGCTGAAGCTTGAGAACAGTAATAGCTAATCTTAAAAGTCCTGATCCAGTGTCATTTAAAATAATAGAAGAATTCCCATCGATTTTAAGCAGGTGAGGATGAGGCCAAAAAGTATTGCTTTGAGAGATAATTTTAGATAATCTGTTGAAAATATCAGTAAAAACAGAAGACTTGACTTTCGCTCTCCACGTAAGAGGTATGAGGTATTTTGGGAGACAGGAGCTCTTGACTTGAAAATGGTGTTTATCTGTTTTTTCTGTTGCCTTGGGGAGTCTTGTTTAAGTGTGTATCTACTGAGATGTTGTTACTGTCTCTGGGAATAGATGGAGGGCAACTGGAAAAGTTACAAGCAAACTGGGAAGGAGTAGGGAGGCTCAGTGAAGTATCGAAATAGATGCATATCTTTTTGTTTAAGATTCAAGTTACTTCTTTTTGCTTGAACCGCTGTAAAATTTTTCTCTCCAGGATATTCTCTCACTCATTCTGGTGGGGCCTTTTGTTGTTATCTCTCTTTAGCAACTCTGATAATTTGCCTGCGTCAGTGCAGAGCAGCCTGTGGTATGCGGTATGTGGGAGCCTCTCTTCTCCTGGCATGCCAGGAAGATAACATGAGAAACAAAGGAAGTGACACCCAAAATGTAAGAGATAGTACCGGTGCTTCAGGACGCATCTGGCTCAGGGTCCATTGCAGGCTCAGACCTGTGGGTGCTGCGTCAGCTTTTAGGGCAGGGCTGGACAAAGAACCAAAGAGGTATTCAAAGACTGCAAGGGAGAAGAAGAAAGGAGTTTCTGGCGTTGGGTGAGCCATTCCATTCTCAGATGGGGGCCTGCTGTTTTCTGAGTTGCACAAATGATGAATGATGGATTTTGGCTGCATTTGGAGGAAGTTCTTGAATATGATTTAATTATTATAAAAAAAAAGGTCTATCAGAATTCAATTTTGTGCCCATCCAAGCCAAAAATGCTGTCAGAACTTTTTGCTTCTTCTCCTTTGTTTATCTACAAACTATAGGAAAACCAAGAAAGCAAGCAGGAATGGTTCTGATGAATGCAGCAGTGATAAAACCAAAAGAAGTAGGTGTGCTCTGAACTGTCTTTACTGCTGGGGTAAGGTATAGCAAACCTTGTATTGCCCTTATTAAAAGTAGGTTTTATAGTGCTGATCTGTGACCACACTGGGGGTGTATTTATTGATTGAATGAAGTTATTTCTGAGCAGAAGAGTTTATCTTGTGAAGCAAGAGAGCCTTTTCCATTTCAGAGGGTGTCCAGCACTGTTAGTGCTGAGTGGCCAGGCAGAAAACCTTTCCTCTGACAAGGCAGCATCAGAAAGCAGCCTGGAGATAAGCAGATGTGACTAAGTAGGGAAGTAGGACAGATACTCTAAGAAGCATCTGGCAGAGCAAGGGAAGAGATGTGAACTCTCCTTTCCAGAGAAAGCCAGAGAAGGAACTGTGGGAATCCAGCTCTTAGAGCCAAAAGTTGAAACTCCGTAATATATAAGTGCTGAGCTCACACTGATTTCACTCGTAACAAGTTCTAATTTTAGTTTCACTTATGCTCCTTAATAGAGTCCCAGACAAATTTAGGAACATAATGGCCTCAAATAAACCTGACAATTTTAGCAGTTTGTTGCCTTTTTCCACCTCAGAATGGCTTTTTCTGCTCCTACAAATAGGAAGCAAAATACTGATCTTGGCAAAGCATATTTGATGGTCCAGTTTGGCATACATACTTAACCTTTTCATCTGTATACTTATATAGATCATAAAATCATAATATCAGAGTGTGCAAAAAACTATGAGAGTGTTGCTAAATGATGTAAAAATACCCTGTTTAAAGAGGGTTTTCCCCTTCCCCCCCCAAACAAAACCAACCGAACAATGAGCCACATTCTTTTATTTCTCATTCAGTCACACATCAAGACAGATTTGACCAAGTATTTTTAGTTAGAGATTTGGAGCAGCTGACATAAGAAATCCTCTTAATAAAAATAAGAGCTTTTTTTAAAGCTATCTTTTATACCAGTGTAATTCTGTTGACTTCAGAAGATTTATCGCTAATACATTCTGATAGGAAAAGACTACCAGGTTGTGGGCACTTTTATTTTTCTTTTACACTTTGGGGTTAACGTCGTCACAGTACTTGAGCCCTTCTAATGAACAAACTACTTTGTATAGCATTCCCGTTTTACTCTTTGATGACATGCTACAATACATAGGTAAATAAGTACCAACTTTGAATGTACAATATAATAATTACATATTTTCCTGATGATGAAGATAGTTTTCAGGGTTTTGTGAAGCATCAGAAGTCACCTTGGTGTTCCTGTAGAACTGCAAGCTGGGGTGAGTAGGAAAAATGGGCAGGACAGAGCCCAGTCGGAGGCACTCTATGAACTTCAGCAATTTTCATCATTTTGATTTGTTTGAATGACAAGAAATATTAAGCTTCTGTCTTCCAGGGGAATATTTCTCAGAAAACTATGCTTACCAATAGCTTTCAAATTCCAACCTTATGCTTTTGTTATTAAATGAAGCAGATTGTAGGGAGAGAGACTTCTTTTTATTTCTCTTTTATTAGACCAGCTTGTATTGTTGGACAAAACCCAAACGAGCTTCCAGATGCAGAAATCCATCTTCAGTTTTGAAACAGAAGCCAATTTCAAGCCAAGTGTAGGCTGGATACAATTGTTTTAAGTTTAACTTTGTTACAGTGATCAGTTGAACAAACAGAAGGGAAAAAAGGTGTGCAGCACCTTGAAGTAGATGAGGATGTTAGTGTAGGCAGAAGATGTTGCGATAGATGTGTCTGAGCTAACAGAGTCCGGGGGTGCTGCTCTTACTAAAAAAGAAAGTCAAGGCAAGATAGGAAAACTGAGCAGCAGAAATCTGGACAGGTATGATTCACCAAATCTCTCTACAGTAAACATTTTGGAAGAGACTGACGGAGTCGTGAATCAAAGCCTCATTTTCATAGGAACACAATAAGCTATACAGATCTCTTTCAGTATTGTATTTCCAAGTGAGTGACAAAAAGTAGCTGCTTAGAAAGTAATTTAAGCCTTTGGATGTTTAGGAGTTTCTTAAACCTAAAAACATTTGTACATCTCTAAGGACAGGACAGTGAACAGTCCAGGCTAGTTACCCTGGGCTCTCAATGGTGAAAAACAGAACCGGAAAAGTGACTTAATCTTGTATCAAAGTAGATGTTTAGGGCTATTTCTCTCCATTGAGTATAAAGGCAGTCCAAAGCCAGTAACACAGGTTTAGGCAATTAACTTCTGAAGTGAACTTCTGACATCTGAAGTGAATCTCCTTCAGGTCTTCAGGACTTTACGACACAATAGGGTTGCAGGAATGGCTTTGAGCACCAGCCCAGCATTGTCTGCATTGCCAGTAGATGTTTGGATGTGCACCTCCCCTTTGGGAAGGGAAGAGTTTCCTGGATGCAAGCCCTGCTGTGCTGCTTGGCATTGGTGCTAGAAGGCAGAGGGGGAACTTACTTAGCCAGCATCCCCACAGACTCTGTCACTTGAAATTGAGGACTTACGAGTACCTAAGACTTAAAAATCTGCACCATGATGAAGTTTTCAGAAGTGCCTTAATTGCATTAGCTTTATTCTAAAAATGAGATATTGCCAGAAATCTTATCTTTATAAAGGTAATCCTTCTGTATTTATGCATACATTCATTCTTTGGGCATTAAATTCAAATGGAGATTATTCTTTTAAATGTGTGTATAGATCGCTGCTGCTCTTTATTTTGTTTTTCTTTGCTAAATCAATACCGCTGCTGTAGAAGTGTTTTATGGGCTTCTTTAGAAATTAAAAATATAACTCTAAGAAGCATTAGGAAACCTTAGTAACACTTCCTTTTTTTGAAAGGAGATTCTGTTCACTAAAAACTGCAGCAAATGACTGGATGCTCGATATTTTTGTTCCCCAGGAAACTCATCCAGCACTGAATTATTGCTCGCAAGCTGACCTTTCTTTCATTATATAAGAAAAAAAAATAATCTTCATGAAAGTCAAGTCGAAGATAAGATCAGCATGGTAGGCTGGTAATTACGTAAAGTAATGTTCAGTTGTTAGAGCAAATGTACAGTTGATCCTATGGCTTAGATGTGGGCGAGGAATATGATCTACCTTTACTGTATAAAAGAAAGATGCAACTTTTTCGTACATCAGTTTCAGGAGCGTACATCCAAGCGTCAAGGACAGCTTACATCCAAACGCCATTCTACAGTTTCTCAGCTGTCTGATTTATTCTTGTTGACCAAAAGAGGTAATATATTTTTAAGTTTTTGTTACTGTTAAAGAGGAACAATTACATGTTTTTGTCATTCTCTTTTCCTCCTTTACAGAAGTTTTCTTCTTCCATTCTGTTGAAGTTTTTACTTTGAAAGTTAACTTAAAGGTTGCTTTGGGACTAAAACATCAGTGGTGGGGGTTAAACTAGCTTGGTAAGTAAGAGAAAACAAGGTTCTAGTTTTGCAGCTAAATGGTGATGATTTGTGATTTCTGATCTGGTAATTCTTCATCAATAACTTTGTGCTTTTCTCCTGGTCAGTGGTGTTGCTGTCAGATATCAAACGTTACACCAGCTGTGGTACTAACACATCTTTCAGAGCCTTTACGTTACCAGTCATGATTAAATACGTGAAGGGAAGAAAAAAAATATCTGTTAGTGAAAATTTCTCAGACTTCAGCAGTCTGCTAGCAGGTTACTGTGTACATCACACTGGGGTGCACTTGCAGTTCTTCGTTGCTGTAACACAGCCGTTCTTCGTGGCCAGGTGTCTTGAGAATAAAATGCAGACAGTGTGCAAAGTGTTTAACTGCTGTTGAGTATGACAGCACCACTGTCACCCTATAGAAGAGTATAGAGGGACATCTCAAATTTATGCTGAAAACAATAGGTTATTTCGTATAATTAGTATGAAGGATGCTCATTGAACAGAACTTGGTGGTATGTCTGTGGGAGGACATGGACAAAGAATTAGGTGAGGGATTCTGACCCAGTGGAGCTTCACATGAATGTAAATGCATCCACAGACTCCCACATGTACTTGAGCAGAAGACCTGTTAGCAAATACAGATGATCACTTGTGATGGTAACTGTTAACATGGTAAATTATTTACAGAAAAAGGCAAGATATTGTAACCAATGAGGTGAAACTTTAACTGCTGAGTAAGACTTAAAATTACTGTCTTTCCACAAAACTCCTGGAATTCATGCATTATATAATGTTCCAATAGCTTAAGAAAGATCATATTTGATAGAGCAAAGTAAAAATTTCATTTGATTTGATGGTGAGATGAAATGAGTGCTGTAGACACTGAGTTAGCAGCATGGGCAGAGTCAGAAAAACAAGAAAGATCGCCACGGAAAATGGCTGTTGCATTGGATGAGTAGAGAAGATGGATGTGGGGATGGATCTGAGGAAAAAATTCTTTACAATAAGAGTGATAAAATACTGGAACAGGTTGCCCAGAGAGGTGGTGGATGCACCATCCCAGGAGACATTTAAGGCCAGGCTGGATGTCGTTCTGGGAAATCTGATCTAGATGAAGATGTCCCTGCTCATTGCAGGGGTTTTGGACTAAATGACCTTTAAAGGTCCCTTCCAAACCAAACTATTCACACAGAGCAGGCCCACAAGGATGATTAGGGGACTGGAGCACCTTCCATATGAAGACAGGATGAGAAAGTTGTGGTGAAAGTTCTCTTCTTGCAGCCTGAAGAAGAGAAGGCTGCATGGAGACGTCATAGCAGCCTTCCAGTATCTGAAGGGGGTCTACAAGGATGCCGGAAAGGGACGCTCTTCGTCAGGGACTGTAGTGACAGGACAAGAGGTAATGGGTTCAAACTTAAACAAGGGAAGTTTAGGTTAGATATAAGGAAGAAGTTCTTTACTATAAGAGTGATGAGACACTGGCACAGGTTGCCCAGAGAAGCTGTGGCTGCCCCATCCTTGGCAGTGTTCAAGACCGGGTTGGATGGTGCTTGGAGCAACCTGGTCTAGTGTGAGGTGTCCCTGCCCATGGCAGGGGGGTTGGAACCAGGTGATATTAAGGTCCTTTCAAATCCTAACCATTCTCTGACTCTAAGATCACATCTGGGTTTTATTGACAAGTATCTTTGGTGGTTTTGGTATAAGCCTGACAGTCTGACTCAATAGAGGAAGTGCAAAACTGCAATTTCAATTTCCCTTTTGGTTAATGTAGTTTAAACAACTTTCTTCTGGGATTGCCTCAAACCTTTATAATGTACCAAATCATAGCATGTTGTGTTCTCATTAAAATTAGGATGGAGAATGCCACTGTGCCTTCAGCAACAAGCATGAGATCATGGAACAATCAGTCAAGAGTTGTACTGTTACTCCTGTGGCTGGCATCTTGCTGGAGCCATTAGAGCATCCAGACTATCAAAATGCTTAGGATGATGTGGAAATAAGTCATTTGAAAAGGCTGTCTGTCTTCTGTAGGTGCATGAGCCCCTCCAGCCAGCTTCTTACACTCTAGGCTATGTCCCCTTGGATAGAGCAGGGCTTGACATTAAAGTCTGAAATTGTGTCCCAGAGCAGGCAAGTCTGCCAGCAGTCACATCCCATCCATAGGGCTGGAAAGACCATAACCTTAAAAAAAACCTTTTCTGTTGGAGGGGGGGATCCAGCCAGTTTATTCAGCACCACTTAACAGATGCACCTGAGCTCAGTTCAGTTCCCAAAATGTTTGGCAGGACCATAGAAGGCTGTGGATCTAAACAGTGAGAAGAACCACCTATCTCCTGTAGGCACAGGTTACTCTTTTCAAGGGTAACAGGGAGCTGGCAGCTGCTTCTCAGAAACCTGAGAGCCATGTTCAACACTTCTATGGGGCTGCCATGGTAACGGCATCCCCTGTTTCCTTTGCCACTTGTTGACTAACATCAAAAGACTATTTTTTTGCACTCAGATAGGTTTTTGGTGAAAGCCCAAGCAAAGATGAGTAACTACAGGTTGCATTCGGCTTGCATGCATGCATACATACATACTCTGAACTGACTTTTCAATACCTCTTCCAAATGATTCTTTCCAGGGATTCCACAATTGATGTCAGTGGTTTTTCTTCCTGATTGTTATCTGCTGCTTTTAACTCCTTTATCCTCTGTTTTCTGCCAGCATGAGCTGACTTGCTGGGCAGGTGGGAGGGAGGATCCAGCACCCAACCCTTGCCGCCTGTTCATTGCAGCCTCATTGGCCTCTTAGCCATTCACTTTAGCTGGGCTTCAGATGAGTCTCTTACCTCTAGTTTTTGCTGTCTTAATTAGAAAGACTCTTGTTTCCACTTCTGTGTCTTCATTCATTGCACTGTAGAGCATTGAACATTGGTCTTGCTCATAAACTTTGTTTCTTTCCACTTTGCTAACCCCATTTGGGCAAGGGCCATGTTCTTGTCATCCTGCCTTTGTTCTCAGCCTCATCTGCCTGAGCAGGATCTTCTGATTGCTACAAGGATGGAGCTGTCTTTGATTTTGTTTCCTGGTTTCAAAGCTACCTTTTAGGGCCTGTGCTCCATTGCCATCTGAACCCCTACCTTTGATGACTGTGTTGTATGTCTGTTTAATCAATAAACCACTACCTGCTGACCTGGATGCAGCAGCCTCACATCCCTGTATATCTCTGGGAATTTCTGCAGTAATGGAGCATCCCTCTGCTAAGCAATACTCTCTTTGCACACATCCTGATGCTTTAGGTTCGCTCTCTGATAATGATACCAGGCAAGTGGCTTCACTCCATGGATCGCCTAAGGTTTGCCTCTTCCTCCAGATGCGAGCAGGCATTATTTGAATGTTCGATCATTGTAGCAGTCCTTGTAAGGATTCTGCTAGGTAGATGCAAAATCTGCAAAGAAATCTGTTTCCGTTATGTGAAAACTGTCTTTGTTTAATTATACTACTACTATATAATTTTCTTCTACCATCTTTCCTGATTAGGGTTGGCACTGCCTTCTCTGACAAGCATAGCATGCTTAGATAACCTTTAAACTAAATCCCAAGATCAGTTTCTTTGTTGCTGGCATTATTGCCTTTCTTACTGCCAGTTCATTTTTAGAAATATTTCAGGCCACGATTTGATCTGCCCCAGAAGAATATTTATCACGGAACAGCAGCATTGACTGGTGTGTTTGGAAGAATAGAAGCTCATAAGTAGTTATGGATTAAATGATTGTTATGTTTGTTTTTAAAGCACAGTAGCTTTCAGTATCTAAAATGTCGATGTTGTCAGCTTGGGGCCTTATTCCACACATCATGCTCTTGCATGACAGTTTCAGTCTTCTAAAGTCAAGGGACCAGGTATCTACACAGGTACAGAAGAAACTGTTGAAAGGATCCAGTTGCAAGAATCTGGAGATGCCTTCAACACTGCAGTTCAGGCACAGCCGTGACAAGTTATGGTTTAGCTCCAGCCATGGCCTGGAGGGATGATTGCAGAGGTGGAGAGATCTGCATGATCAGACAACATTTCTGAGAAGGCAGGTAAATAGTTTGGTGATTAGGAGCTGTAGGCTTGGAATGCTGCCTGAAGTGCTTGGCTGAAGCCAGTCCCGGAACAACTGGAGCCAGTGAACCAGGTGCTACTGCACTTGCTACTCAATCCTTCAAAGCAAGGCTGTCCCTTGGCCAGCCGTGTTGGGAGGAGGAGTGCTGCCGTCTCTGTCACCTTCCTCAGTTTAGGAATAGAATACTTCAAAATCCCTTATATGACTCTTCATGCTTCACCATGCGGTATAAGTAATTCCTGTTCATTTCTAAAGGAAGGGCTCAGGTCTGCACTTTAGAAGGAAGTAATTTTTAAGGTGAAAATTCCGTTTTCTGAGTGAGAAACTTGGCACAAAGGAACTGTCAATACAGGAGGCTTAGTGCTTGAGAAAGAAGGTTACAAACTTCATGCCTAAAATACTACATTTTAATGCTGACAAGAACAGAAGTGAAGTTCATTCTTTTGTTTCATGTGTTCATAGCTTGTATGAATCCAAGATTTTCAGAAGTAGCATTAGCTAACCAGATATTTATGACATGGAAATCTGAAAATGCACGTGGCAGCTGTAGCCTAATTCAAACCCTGCTTGACATTGCAGTAAGGGCAGTCCTTCCAGGTCAGGCTACAGGTGCATAGAAGTTACTTGTCTCAAAATAAATAACAGTTTCTTACAATCATTTTTTTGTCTCTGAGCAGGGTGGTACAAAATGCTTCAGAGTAACTTTAAAGGTCCTGTGGTACTTACCATTAAGTGTCCTGCTGATCTGTCTTTAGCCCTTAGTACATCTGATGTTTGGACATGGAAAGAGCAGAGGTTTCATTCTGCTCCCCCAGGAAATCTCATTGTCAATAATAACGAAAGAAAGTAAACTTAAAAAAAATAAATAAATAAAACCCCAGAGAATTTGGAATTATATTCATATTCATACAGTTACAATATATGTTATATATTCTGCATCTTTATTGTTATGGTTCCCTTGGTTATTCGTATCAGAGATATGCATTACCCTGTTGTATAGATTTGATCTGGATCAAATATAGCCACACAACTGCATTTCTGTTGAATTACCCAGAGAACAATCAATATGCTAGCTGTAGAAGGACAGATGTGCAGTGCTGCATCTAGCCTTCCTGCACAAAAATAATCTCAGAACACAAAAGCCTATCTGTTGTATTAGTAAAATGAAGCCTAAAATCATCTCACTGTAGAAGATTGCAGTGATGCTGAAGGCCCTTGGACTCTCCTGACCTGAGGTGATGCAAGCGGCTCTGGGCTCTTTCAAGCTCTCCTGAGCATCCTCTCTGCACCATGTCTCTTTGAGCATTCTGGAGCACAGCATGTAGTACTGTTCCAGTTCCATAGATTGGAGGAGCTTTCTCCCACTGAGGGACAGGACTGTGAAAATCTTTTTATGGGGACTTTGGCACTAAAGAAGTCATAGAATTGTAAAATCATTTAGGTTGGAAAAGACTGTAAAGACCATTGAGTCCAACTGTAAACCTAGCACTGCCGAGTCCACCACTAAACCATGCCCCTGAGTGCCACATCTACACATCTTTTAAATGTACACCAGGGATGATGACTGCACCACCTCCCTGGGCAGCCTGTTCTAATGTCTGACAATCTGTTTGATGAAGACACTTTTCCTAATATTCAATCTCAACCTCCCCTGGGACAACTTGAGGCAGTTTCAGTGTGTGGACAAATAATCTAATTCTTAGTTCAGGAAATTATGTCCTGATGTGAAATTATTTTCCCTGAAATTAGTCTTCCCATATCCCAGACTCTGCACATTCTTTCCTTTTCGCCATAGGTATTTGGTGGCTTTATCCAGTCTACCATAAGTATACAGTTACAACATTTGAAGTTTATGTGCTGTGGCTTATGTTAATATTCAGAAAAAAAAAACTATTAAGGCCAGAAAGAAAGGAACATTTTTGTTATTGTGATGGAGTCAATTTTCTGAGCCTATAAAATGCCCATCAATGCACTGCATTTTTGGTTTCCAATTCCAGTTCTAAATTGTTCCTGTTACTTGCACTGAATACTGTATCAGTGTGCAACTTAGATACTAGTACTGTACCCAAATCAAAACCCAGTCCTTTAAAAATGTGTGTATTTGTATTTCCACACAGATCATGGATTTCTACGGGAAGTATGTAGCTGTCACTTTGACCATTTTATCTGTATTGCTGCATCTTCTTCATGCTTTCCCAGATGGAGAGTTTCTCATGCAGGGTAAGCCGCTTTCAGCATTCAGAAATAAGACAATTATTTGTAAAGAGTATTAATTAAAATTCCATGTTTTATAAATGTGGTCATAAATCTTAACATTCAGTTGCATTTACTGACACTGAGATATGAAGGGATAATAATCAAGATAATTTTGCTATGGGTATACTTCCAATTTCTTCTCTAAACTTGATTTCTTCAGGTTAAGACCCTCCCAGATGACTGTGTCCTCTTGTTGAAATGGGTGATCTTAATCCTCAAAACATTATAAAATAGAAACATTTTGGGGTTTTTTTTTGTACTCTTGAGATTTAATGATAACGTAACATCAGGTACAGTAGAACTATGGCTTCTCCTCATAATATGAAGATTATTTTTCCTGTGTACATCCCAAGATATGGGATGTTGGTGGTGAAGCATTCTACGGAAAGGGTGTATTAGGAAGTTTTTAGAGGCATTTTGGATGATGCAGGGGGTTTTATTAAGCCTTAAACTGAATATAGAAAAATGCAAGCTACAAAAATCTTGGGATCACTGGGCATTTTTGAAACACTTGAAAACAGAGCCTTGCCTGAACACAGTATCTAAGAAGCACTACAAATCCTTCTAGTGCTATTTAACTAGCTAGCCGGAAGTTTTCTAGGGACAGCTAGTGCAGTACATATACAACAAGAAAACCTTCCAAAACTGCCAACAAAATTGAAAAAAACAACCAGAAAAGATACAATAATGCTTGTGCCTAACCTAAAAAGCCTCAGTCTAGTTTTACAGTTCATGTGTGTTGCAGAGTTGAAGGACCCTAAAGGGGCAACATTGGTGTCTGTCCTTCTCTGTTCTGTGCACATCAAGCAGCAGAACATGCCTGTGCATCCTCATATTGTCTGCTCTTTCCCTTTCTTTAAGAAAGTTAAAATATATCTGGAGACCAAGTAAAAGTCTCTTCCTTATGTTTTTATGGCAGGTTGTCCAGAGTGCAAGCTAGGAGAGAACAGATTCTTTTCCAAGCCAGGAGCCCCCATTTACCAGTGCACTGGGTGCTGTTTCTCCCGTGCCTATCCTACTCCAATGAGGTCCAAGAAGACCATGCTTGTTCCTAAGAACATTACATCGGAAGCAACGTGCTGTGTAGCAAAGGCATTTACTAAGGTGAGTGTGTGAATGAGACCTATTAAAGTTTCTTTTAGGATGCGATCTTTAGCTGAAACAGTGAATAGAGAAGAATATGTTTTTGATGGAGGACATCAGAGAACTATTTGAGGGAAGCACCCTTGCCATTTATATTCTTCACACTTGGGTTCTTTTTTTTCTAAAGAGGAAATTAAAGTGTCAACCAGTACTGAGTATTGTCAAGCAGTATTCAGATGGGATGTGGAAATTGGTGTAGTGCCACTGACTTCAGTGAAATTGCTTTGACTCATGACACCTGCAGTTCTGGTGACGGACTTGTCCCCTCATTTTTGACTCTTCTGGTTGTGCACCCTTCCCTTAAATGCTATGCAATGTGTATTTGATTTAGTAAGTCATTTTCCTAGCTTCTTTCCTGCATAGGCAGGAGTTCTCTGGGAAGGTGGCTGGTCAATACTATCAATTACATATATGGGAATGAGGGACCAAAACCATCTGTGCTCATTAGATTAATTGCGATTGTGTGTTAATAGAGGGAACCAAGAGGGAACTGTAAACGTGTCAAACTACTTTGAGCATTTAACACTGTCATCTTGAATGTTGTTTTAAAGAGAGATTCTGCTAAAGCTAATTATTTTGGGAGTGATTCACCTGCAGGTGGAGAAACCTTAAATTTGATGTAATAAATGGTGACCTAGTTGAAACAGGCTAAGGTGTCTTTTCTGTAGTGATCTGCACACACCAGGCTCATTAAGCGTGTCAACTAGAGGCTCAGTTCAGTTACCCACTCACAGATCTGGGGCCATTTGAGGTGCCCTGGAGTACTGAAGACATCTGTGTACAGCTGGCAGACACAGGACCCATGAAAGACCAGCTCCAGTGACAACTGGAGGCTTGTTGAGATCCCCTCCGAAATCTCAAGTGGCAATTGACAGCTCTGTGTGTGCAGCTGAATGGAGCACTGTGTCTCCATAGGCTGTGAGGATAGCCCAAACACCTGACTCACCTACAGACAACAATAGCTGAACTCATCCTGGCTCTTCATCTGAGTAAAGCACAGATCTTTATCTAGACCACAGGCAGCAACTAGATCTTTATCTAGACCACCCTGAGGCAGCAACTAGAATTTGGTCGAGATTAAAAATAAGGATGGCTCATAGTGTTTGTGGCCTTCATTTTTATAATCCCCATGTGGAATATTTTAAGGACACTTCCTGACTTCTCATAGATTGATACTTGACACTTTTTGAAAATTAGACACTCTAAGAAGTGCCAAATGAAGGACACCAACCTATATTACTATGCATGTCACTATTGAAAACCTTCTCTTTACGACTCTCAAAACCACTGGTGATGCAGCTTCACGGGTTGGTGTTCAGAGGCCATTCTAATACATGTAGCCCAAAAAGCCTGTGTAGCTCATGGTTAAGAAGAAGGCTTCAGACACCTTTTACTTGAGAATACTGTTTCTACTGTGTAGCTAATGCTAATTATCTGTTATGTGTGTGTGTTTTCTTTTTTTAAGATCACCCTTAAGGACAACGTGAAGATAGAGAACCATACAGATTGTCACTGCAGTACCTGCTACTATCATAAATCCTAAAGCCAGTCCCTTTGTTAATGATCAAGGACAATGGTGAATGGAATATTTGTTTTTGAGCTTTTATAGCACCGCTGTGTAAAATGTTATGTTTTCTGGTCAAGACACTGGGTAGACTTTTGAGTAAAATGGATGGCTGTTTCATTTCCTCTTTGCTTCTTCATGCATTTAAGTAAGTTCAATTATTTCCATTCGGGATAAAATACAGCACTTGCATGACAACCGAACGCTTGATCTATTTTTAAAATAAACTGTCAGTTAAATCATTGATGTTTCTTGAGGAAAAATGGTGTTTCAGTAGTTTAAAGAAAAGAAAATAGATACTGCTGCAGTTAATTTCTATTTTACTCTTTTTTTTTTTTTAACGGGAGGGGGAGGGAAGGACTAGTGAGGGATGGGGAAGTGGACAGAAGAAGAAGCAATAATTGCTGTTTATTTATTTAGTTATTAGATTTTTTGAAGACTTTTTCCAGGACATTTTGTTTCTCCAGTTTATCTTCCGGTTTTTCATTACCTTATGGGCAGAAAGTGTAACAGTGTATCTATCATCCATGCACAGCCCTCTGTTTTTCTGTGCTAGCTTTTTGTTTTCTTTGAACTTATTCTCCTGCCATATAGATAGGTAAATGGTTGTAGAGTCAGACGTTATAAAGAATTGTACAGTTTCATATGACAATGGTGGAACAGAGGAGATGTACAGCCGTATTAGCTGTTTAACGTATGCCTGAGGAGCATGGTGCAGGGCTTTAGTAATTCCCAAATGTACTGTGCTGGACCCAGATATGCAAATAGAAAATGTAGGGAATATGTTAGGTGAGAAGAGGACCACAGAATACATAGTCTTAATATCATAAACTGAGATTTTAGGGATGGTACTTGTTCAGTTGTAGTGGATTCAGTCAGGGTCTCTGGAGGAACTGCTTTCTGGAGCTCACCCACGGGAACCGAAGTGAATGGATTCCTTTGCTTTTCACTCTAATTTCTGAGGTAAGAACATCAGCCTTGCTATGGTTGCTGGCTGCAAGGGTTTTAAATGTGCTGCCTCAAAAACCCTCTGGTGTATTTGTGGGGGATTTCCCTGCAGCAGATGCTGTGAGAGTAGCAGTAAGAGCTTCTGGTCTTAGGGGCAGGGAAACTTGCCAGGGGTGAGGTTGTGAGGGTGGCTGGTCTGTCCTGGGGCATAGCCATGGTAGGTGTCTGTGCCTGTGCTGGATGACTGAAGTAGTTTAGACAGGCCTCCAGGCCTAAGCTTTGATGGGGCACTAGAGCAGCCCAAGACCTGTGGTGTGGGATCTAAGGATAGTTTAAATCCACTATTCATCCACCCTTCTGTCTATTGGAGTGCAAATTCCGTGCCATTTTCTAAGAATACAATCATGGGGCTTTGAGGAGAAGAAAAGACTTCTCATAGGTAGGGGAGATGAGGTTCTTAGAGAAGCATTATTCAGCATATATCCAGTAAAATTTATTAGCCCTATCTCCATGTCTGATTCAGTCTCTTCCCCACTGGGAGCCACTGATCTGGTCCAGTCCCATGTCCTAGCTGCACCATGCACCGTGCCATTCCTGAGAGATGTTTGCCTGAATCTTGGAAAAACCCTGCCAGTGGTTACTTCAGACTGTGCCAGGAGACTGGTCTTCTTGTTTCACTATTCTTACTGTGAAGGAAATTGTCAATCTTCTGGGAAGTTTTTCCATAAAGTTTTATGTCTCATTTGCTTCGACATTACTTTTGGTCAACAGGGAGGTAGTCCAGCAGCGTGGTCTTTGGGATGAGTTTAATAACACAAACAACATAGTTTTTCACAATGAGAAGTTTCTCATTTCTCATTTCATATCATCACACAAGACAGTACAGGAGCACATGTCAAGCAGCCACTATAGCTGACTCCCAAAACTTGTTGTACAGTTTTATTAAATGTGACTGATGCAAGTACTTTTGTGGGAGAGCCAGATTCTGCCTGGAATTTCTGGGCAATGAGAAGGAGTGATTTGAAGCTGCAAGATGATTACCTTTGGGAATGGTATTGCATCTTCTTATAACTTTGACATGACTGAAAGGGAGAGCAGGGAAACACATTCTCTAAAAATCACTTGCATGGGAGATGTGCCTTTTCATCTTGCCAAACTTACTGGATTACCTCTTACTTAAGTGAGCTCCTTTGGCAGTATCAAGTACTTGCTTTTCTATCTATGCCTCTGCTGCACACAATGGCAGGTTGGTGACATGATAAACTTCTGTTTGCATCCTCTGAAACAACTTCCATTCTGTGCATTGTAAAACCATGGGAATAAGGACATAAGGGCATAGACTTGTTGGAGTGAGTCCAGAGCAGTCCACAAAGATGACCAAAGAACTGGAGCACCTCTCTTTTGAAGACAGGCTGACCTAGAGAAGATTAGGCTTTAGGGAGACCTTATAAGCAACCTTCCAGGTGCTTACAAGAAAGCTGGAGAGGGACTTTTTACAACATTCCAGGTTGCCTAGTCTTATTTTTCAATGTCTTTTCCCTCTTGCTTGTACAAAAGCATTTAGTCATGAACTTCTCAACCCATGGATCCCTCTTCCCCCTGAAGGAGACCTCAAACATCAAGAGGTCTCCAGGTGCATTGCGGGGGTAAGTAAGTGGAATAGGAGAGAATCCACTTAATTAGCAGACTCCAACTCAGAAGAAACAATAGGGGACAAGGAAAGCGGTAAAATAAACACATGGATACACAAACCTAACAATAGGTGATAAAGGAGACAATAAGAGAGAGCAAAGCTCTGTAGAGGCTGCTTGATGGGCCATCAGTGGTGGCACTGGGGCAGGTGGCAGAGGGGCAGCCCCAGATCTCTAACAAGAGTCAAGGCTCAAGGCTGCCCCGGCTGTGCTGGGGCCTTGCGGGGAGGCATGGGGGTTCGCCAGACTCGTGGTGGGGTATCAGAAGGGGCTCGTAGGACCATGAAAACATTGCTATAGGGTGTTTAGAGGAAAGGCCAAAGGTGCAGAAAGGCGGCGGTGATCGTCAAAGAGGACCGGGGAGAAGCAAGCGTGGGAAAAGAGAGAGGGGTATTAAAGGGGGTTGGTCATGTGTGCAAGCTGCCAGCCAGTGTGCTTGTCTGACTGAGCTACTAAATCACTGCAGTCTGTCCTATCTTCATATTCAGTCGTTTACTTAACTTTTTTTTTTGTATTTTCTGTGTAATCTCACGCTGTATCCCATATGTGAGTGCTGCAAGGCCTGAGTGCTAGCAGCTGGAGAAGAAACCTATAGGTCTTGGTGCCAGCAACTAGAGACCAGTAGGCAGGAGAGACGTGTCATACCAACTGGAGGGACTGTAGGCCAGAAGGCTTGTAGGTCTATGTGTTTAGGTGTCAGAGGGGCCATGATGTGTGTTTATGTGGGAGAGGTCTATAGCAGTACTGTAAATACCCCGATTGACTTAATCCTGTGTGCATGTGTATGTGTGATTGTACACCAGTTTTTAAGTTGGACTAGTTGGTGAGCAGGAGGAAGCCTGCCTCTGGAAGGACTTGAGGTCTGAGCCCATGCTGGATAAGGGGACCAGGGTCTGGGCACATGTGGACTGAGAAGCTGTGCCTAATATTCAATGAATCCATTGAGACAAGTGTGTAGTGCACACATCTGTTTGCTAGCAAATGTCAAGGTGGACAGTAGGAGGAGACCTTCTTACCAGGTAAGGGAGGAGTCCAGGTATGGGTATTAGAGGGCTTTACAAGCTGGGTGGATATTCAAGGATCTGTGAATGTGACTGTGCTTGTGAATCTAGAAAGTGAGGGCAAAGTTTTCATAAAGAATTTCAGTCCTGATCAGCCAAAGAGAAGGAACAGGACTGGGCTTGAAAGTAGGAGTAAAAACCAAGGCCATAGTCAAAAGAGAGGTGGTAGTAAACAGCACATAAACAGTCAGGGCTAGGAAAAACAATGCTACGTGCTGTTAGGAAGCTAATACAGTTAACCATAGTAGAAAATTAATGAGATATGAATGGGAATATATGCTGGAACACAAACTAGATTTTTATCTGTAGGGATTAAATATCAGATTTCCAGTAGGAATGGAAAACAAGAAAAAGAAGTACAATATAGTTTCCTTACATTAGAAAATGGCTGAGATGGAGGCTAGATTGGTCACATATATTGAAGAGGGCATGGAGAAATGGTATCACAAAATCAGAAGAGAGACTAATCTCTTGTTTAGATAGATAACTAATGTGCATTTTCTATATTTTAGGAACAGGGTATTTGTGCATGGAGATAAAATGAAGTCCTTGTCAGTGTGGTTTATAAGTAGTAATAAATCAGGCTGATATTGAGGATTAAAAATGCTGAAGATCAAGCAGGCTGAAGATAAAAATGATAAGTTTTTACTGTCACAGTGACCTGTATAAACCTACGTTGCCATAGTCCTAATAACAGATTCATGCTGTGAGCAGAGGGACTAGTGAAACTTGATTTCCTGACTATCTATGCCCTACCTCACCAAAGATCCATTTTGCCATGTCCTTAGCAAACCCCTCTCCCTCCTCCCTGGGAGTCTCCATCAGGTGCCCTTCTGAGCTGCTGCAGAGCCATCAGCCAGAGCCAGGGCCATGCCACTGTTTGTCCATCCAGCATGTTTTCTTAGGGCTGCTACTGGTGTCTTTTCACTCAGGCCCCAGTTCTTATATTTTGCCATTAGCAGGTGTTGATTTTCACAAGACTGGTAAGGCCTTCCAGGGGCTGAGGTCATTACCAGAAATGCTCAAAACTGACCAAAGGGTTATAGAGTTGCTGCGGAGTAGCTGTCAGACAGCTGTGTAGACTTCCTCACTGATTTGAGAAGCCAGGATAAAAATCCTTCTGATGAATCATAGGTGTTGTGATTTCCAGTCCACAGCTGGTGAGCGCAGGAAGGGTGTCGTCTCGGCAGAAAGATAAGCTCTCCAGCTGTAGGGATTTAATGAACTGAAATTTCAGACCAGATTGCTTGCTTACTTTTAGCCAGCCCAAAAGGCTCCAAGTGAGCAGTAGTCTTCATTACCTGTCACACTGTCTAAACAATGATTTTAAACAGTGGTGAGAGGGAAAGAGAAAGGTATTCTGGGGCTTGGGCTGGATAAGTATAGGCTGTATGTTTCCCCTTTACAGCTGGGTGAAAGCTCTTTGTTAACTTGGAAATTGCCTAAATACGTTCATATATAGCAGGAACCTCTTGCAGTGGAGGGAAGGGGGTTTTGCT